TTTGTAAAGATTCCTTCAATCATAAGTGTTTCGCATAACTTTATTCTCCATATTTAGTCAGGGTGCTTCGAATCGTCGGGAAATTCGAACTGGAACAGTGATCTGCTGGCCTTTAGATGCGACGGTACAGCCATGTTCTCCAGAGGTCCTGAGCACGCATCCTTGGCTATGACTAATCTTTAGTTACCTGGGAAGCTTTCGGTATGAGAAATTAGCTTGTATCGTCTTTGTAGCATCATGCCGCCAATGAGTGAATGACTTTTTCCCCCGTAGCTCCGCCGCGGTGGTCTAGTGGTTAAGGTACTCGGCTGCTGACCCGGAGGTCGCGGGATCAAATCCCGGCTGCAGCGGCTGCATTTCCGATGGAGGCGAAAGTGTTGTAGGCCCGTGTGCTCAGATTTGGGTGCACGTTAAAGAACCCCAGGTGGTCGAAATTCCCGGAGCCCTCCACTATAAGGAGTCTGTCGTAATCATATGTTGGTTTTGGGACGTTCAACCCAATATATCAATCAAAATCGCTTTTCCTCCCGTTTAGTCAAAAGTTTGCCGTACTAGCCAACATCACACAGAAAATGAAGGTTATCGGCTCGAAATTCCGATTTCTCAAATAATATGAACAATTGTCGGGATTTTACGTCCCAAAACCGCGATATATAATTACGAGGCACGCCATGGTGGAAGTCTCGAAAAATTCTGAAATCCTGCTGGGTCCAATAAGTGGCAACGTAGTCTAATGTAGACGGACCTCAAACATTTCATCTCTATCTAAATGCAGCCGCTGTGGCCAAGATTCGATCTCACAATTTTCTGGTCGGAAACAGAGCCCCGTAACCACAGAGCACCATGACGGGGTCCAATTTCTCAAAAAAACTTAACAGCCCGGTGAACTCTCCACAGCAACATGGGCACTGCGCGCTTCGCACCACGCTCTCTTTCTCACAGCATGTGTAAAATCAAAACTACAAACCACGTCTACATAAAATACTCAAATAATGTACCATGCATGAGAGGAAAAAGAAAAAAAACATAAACTCGACCTGGGGCTGAAATGTCACGACCTTTTAAAAAACCTGCAACGTTATCAGTGCAAGCACCGCCTTTTTGCGTGTTTTGCTTCGCGCAGTAATAAAACTACTAGTAAGCAAGGAAGCCCGTTTCCCTCCAATGCTGCAGCTGCGGCTTGTGAAGGGCATTTTTCTGAGTCAGCGTTCCCGTAATCATTAAAGTTAGTCAGCTGTTAACAAGTGCGCGAAATTCGAGAACGAGTGGTACGCTTTAATGTGCAGGGTGTACACTGGAGGCCTAGTTACTGCTTGACAGAGTAATCTATATTAATTGCTTTTTTGGTTAACCAGTTTACCGATGCACAAACATTACTAAACTGTTACAACCTCGTTAGCGCTTATTTGATAAAAAAAAACAGGCATATCAAGCATACATCTTTCAAACTATATCTGAAGCGAAGGTGGTAATTATGGGCTTAATAGTTACATCTATGCCTTCACTTCCGTTGATTTTCAGTGTATGGAACTAGCAGCGTAACCAGAAGTTTTTCGGGGAGGAGGAGGAGGAGTGTTCCTTTACTCTTTCTGCGTGTTTACGCGACAGTTCGTATGCGTGCGTTTAAATATAAACATGTAAAACTTAAAATTTCCCGAGGTAGGGAGGAGGGGGGGACTTTGAAATTCCCAATTCTCCCCTCCCTGATTACACCAGTGTATTAAACGCAGTGGCTCATGACATACGCGAGTTGACTCTAAATTGACCCTTGGCCTTCTATGTCCAGCAGACGTGGAAAACTGCATCACGATGCAAGCAATAGCTACTGCGCCATAATATCTGATTAGGAAGACAGGCTGTCGCTGGGAGCTGAAATTGTAAGCGGTTGGCCCGTGAACCCTATCTAAATCAAGCTGGCTCAGTGTATACGGCTTTTTGTGAAGATCTCAAGCCCCACTCGATATGTCAGGGAGGTTGGCAAGGTCAGCGAGGTCATTATGTTGTACTAAGTTATCCATGTACAGTCCTAACTGACGTATTTCCTGAAGAAATGCTCACAAGAGGGGAAACAATCACTTGCGGGGCGATTTGATTAATTTTTTTATTGAATAGTCCAGACGCAAAAACTGGTCCTAGCAGGACAAGTACAAGAGGCTGGATATAAACACAAAAACACATGTGATAACATAAGAATATATCACGATAAATAGAATAAAAACTCGTACTAACAGAACACATAAGAGTTAACAAGGCAAAATATTACATGAAAAAGCAACAGAACACAAATTCACATTGCCTATTTTAGCTCTAAACAACCTAAAGTTGGCTGGGATCAGTCAGACAGTTCCACTCTGACACAGTACGCGAAAAAAAAAAGGAAATTTTAAATGCGTTGCTTTTGGCTAAACACGGCGTTAAAGAATGGGCGTTATGATGACGTGTATGCCTAGTGGATAGAGGAGATACATATGCACTCGGGTCAAGGGCTAACTTGTGATTAACTAGCAGATATAGAAAGTTAAGGCGGTTTCTTTTTCGTCATACTGAAAGTGTTTCAATGTTGTTTCAATGTTATTAAAGCCTCTAACTGCCAGTCTGAGCTCCTTTGGTGGAATCTACAGCAAATTTTTGGGTGGATTCACTTTTCGATGCGTGCGCACGGGACCTTGTAACGTAATAACTATATCTTCCTCAGTTTTTTTTTTCGTAATAAACCATTTGACATTGAGCAAGCGTTCCCGTCTTTCTGTCTCTCACGCCCTCTTTTTTCTGCACTCTGTTTTGATTTTAGGAGAAGAAAAATTCTAGGAAGGACTGCTTACATGCAAGAACATAGCATCAATAAATTCTATATTATTATAGAGTAAAGGCGGGAATCATAGTGCAATAAAGCTGAATGAGCCGTATTTGGAAGTATTTAAAATAGAGTGACAACATGCACTTATAAAATTGTGAAGGGAAGCAGGGCTCAGACTGGTAAAGCAGCCACCAGACGGAGCAGTATGCGCCTGCTTGCTGTTCACGGGAAGCAGCCGTAGAAAAAGAATTAAAAAATTCAACTCTGTGTAGCGAACATCGATGAAATAGCGAGGCCGTTGGCTTACATAGGAGCCTTAGCTTGAGCAATTATTTTAGCTGGTCGAATGAAGTGGATTGAATGAAGTGAATTGAATGAAGCGGAATAAAGTGGGTTGATTGAAGTGGCACTCAAGTGGACTGAAGTATACGTGACAGAAGCGAGAGGAGTGGCGGGAGTACATAGTGGGCCTATAGTGTTGCGTAGTGGGAGTCGTGAAGTGGCACTTAACCGTTTCCGATCTACGACGACTTCCGAACATGAAAGCCTCGAAAAAACTTTGCTGCAAAAGAAAATAAAAAAGAACAAAAAATAAGACAGCAAACTTACAAACAGGAAGCCTTGTAAGCATTCAGTCGGTATGTATTCACCTTTCAGTGTATTATATACACTGCAAGTTAAAGCAGGTGAAGCTAATACGGTGGCGAAGTACGAATGTATTACGAATATTTACCCAACGAGCGATGTAAAACGGTTAAAATCAATATGCAGTATTGATGAATGACTTCAGTACGCAGTGGCGAGAAAAGTATACACGCTGCAGATGAGACAATAATGAACTATAGCACCGGGCCCATAGAAACAATAGATGAGTCATTTGGACGATATTGCGGAAGTTAATTGTGCATACCGAAAACATTCTTAGCACATTGCGCGAATCTACAGCGGACAACGATGAAACACGACAGCCCGCTTTTTTTGTTTTTTGTTTTGTAACACATTCTGACAATAATGAACCATTCCTTTATTATCGGCCAGCTCGAAAGAAGAAAGAAAAAAAGAATCGTGCGAGCTATGCATGGTTCACTTACCCTGACTATTTATTGTGCATTTCTTTTTGCGGTTTAGCTTCCCGCGCCGATTGTTCGTGAGAGCAACAGCTGCGGCTCACTTTCCCGTAACAGCTAAGGCGCGACGCGGTCGGCGGGCAGGCGAGCGATCTCGGAAACTAGCGTTAAAACGAGAGTGTATAAAACATCGCCCTTTATGAAGGGTATCTCATTCTGCGAATGGATTGCCGTTTGTTTTTTTAGGCGAATAGGAGAACACATCGCTCCCTGTAATATAAGGGTGAAAGAGCGTGATGGCACGTGTTTAAAAATGAAGAAATACAAAAGTTTTCGACAATATCAACCGTAGTGGTCGCTTCGTATGAGTTGTGAGTGAGCAAACAGAGTGTCCCGAGTCCATGGGCAAACACACGAAATTTCATGTTCTTCGAAGCTTTCGACGTTCCTGCCGACGTCATCAAAACGAAGTTACAATTGAAGTAAAAGGAAGTCGAAGAAGTTTCCTAGCTGTGCACCTCTTTTTTTTTTCAAATTACAAGAAAAAATTCTTGTGTAGCCTTTTCTGATATATGCTATGCGCTATAGGCAGTCCTTCGCACTAAAAAAACGCAGCCTTCAACTCCCTCGCTTATAGTAGCTTCGGCCCAGGCAAGCAACAGGTTGCTCTCAAAAGCAGCCCTGCTTTCCATCCCTAAACTCCGACGTCCAAACACGCTTTGTGCCACATTCCCCGCATCCACAGGTAAGCGCACCTACAGGGAAGCATACATAGCATTTCAAAAGCGGTATACCATCGCGCATGGCTCGTTCGATGCACGGCAAGGAATCGAGCCACAAAATAGACCCAGGGGAAATAAGTTGAACAAAGAGAGCACGTATTTGCAGCGCGAGAAAGGATACGGGGTCCAGGAGGGCACCGGAGGACAACAACAATGGCTGCCATCGCGCTGTAACCGCGCTCTCCCCGACGCGAGACCGCTGGAGCGCGCACGCCGGGCTCGCGCACCACGCTATACGCGCTCGGCGTACGCTCTCCTATCAGACTCGCGCGAAGGCGTGGTCCCGTACGACGCCGCTCCGCCCCGAAGTCTGCCGCCGACGTCACGCATTGGCAGGCCGCCGTATTCGCGCAACTGGTCCGCCGGCTGCTCGTGCCAACATGGACGAGGGCAACTCGGAACCGCAGACGAAAAAAAGACGACGCCTGGAACCGCCGCAGACTTCACCGGTCGCCGTTGCGCCCGATGGCCAGGTGAGGGACACCAGAGATCCTTGGGATGCCCCAGAGAGATGTCCTAGCCCTTTCCTTGTGTTCCACGGCAAGCGCTAAGCCTAACCGGCGTAACGCGATACCCCCCCGGCTCAAGCCCCGCCAACCAGCGATTTCCGCTCCCCAAGTTCCAACCTGCAACGTTTTTTGATCGGAGAAAAACAACGTACGACCACGCGTGTGATGTGAGTTCTTCAGGATCTCACGGAAAAGAGACAGGTAGATGACTTGAAAGAGGGACAAGCGGTCTGGGTCTTGAAACGTGCGCGTTCTTCCATAACGCCCGGTAATTCCGGCAGCCTCTTCCTGAATACATTGTATACCCGAGGCAACTGACTGATTGTCCCGCAATGTACCAATTTAAAGGGCAGTGCTCACACGGCTGTAAAATGGGTACCATCACAGTGTCCGAGCCGTATAAGTGATGATGTACGAATCGGTGAGCTCCTGCCTGAGCAGGCAGCTCTGTTGTATCGGAAGCGTGAGTAAGCCTAAAAGGACGCAGCTCGTGTTCGCACTGAACAAAACCAGGGCGCCGATGTTTTCTTACGTTTATTCATCTTCCATCAATTGGTGGCTCCATGAATTCGCTCCCTTGCAATCAGTTCATCTAACGACGGCTCAGGACACTGTGTGCTGCTTTGACACCGGTTGGAATACTGAGAGCGCGTGGCAACGCTTCAGGTTTGTTGTTCTCTCTCTGTCAAGAAAGCCGCTGCCGGCAGACTTGTGTATGGCAGCCGCCATGTGGCTTGTGTGTGTGTGCCTGTGTGCTTGCCCGTTACGCCCACTTTTTGACGCGCCCGTTGATGTGTTCGCTTATACGTGTGCGGCGTTCCAGATGCCGAACAATGACCACATCACTCTTGCACGTCACTACAGTTGCGTTCGCCATAGGTTTCTCAAATTTTGTTGTATACACCTATAGCACCCGTCCAACAAGCGATTGCTGAGCAGACTATACTACAAAATAGTTCAGTTATTTTTCTGGGGATCGTTCGTTTTAGAAATTTTTGACCCGAACTGAACAAATCCCAAATGCATGCCGAATGCCTATAATGAAACACGCTGGTGCTTTTCGAGGATGGTGGTGGTTGTCAGGGCCCGCCATCGCGTATTCGTTCGATAAAAAAAAAAGAAAGGTTCGGGTTTTTTTAGCTTTATATGCAAGAAACGGCGTCAAAAGCTTCACCTTGTATCGCAATTTTTCTTTGTTCGTTTACACGCATTACAATTTTTTTTTTCAATATACGACACAAGCCTCCAAGGTGAGGTTTGGTGCGGTAAATAATTACAGCCGACATTTTCATACGCGAAGTGCTATGCGAAGCTGTTTACAGTATTCTATGTCTTCACTACCATCCATCCTTGGTTTTCATTTCTTTTTATTTGCTATTCAGAACGTGTATATTAGTCGTTTATACCGCTAGCACTTCCTACTGACAGTCTTTCAGTACCTCAGCGAGATTATTTTTTCTCCTCGGTAAACAAATGCACGTGCACCCCCCGTAAGTCTGGTTAAAAAACCCATACGCATTCCTAACATTCAAGCCGAAACACGCGACATTTTTTGGCGACATGTTAACGTGTCCCTCATGTCGAGCCAGTTGAGGTCCGTCAGGAGAGAATTTGAGCCGCATATTGGCTTGTATGTTTTTAAAGCACATTTATCATGCAGCCGCTCGTCAAGTCACTATAGGGTTAGCTATGCAAAGCTGCGACTACGATTAAATTATAATAATATAAACGTAATACTCTCATCTATATATGCTCTGGCATAAGTGAGAGTATGATATGCATAACATGTTTTCCCACAAGTTTGCCTTATTTGTGAATGCAGCGGGATCAAACCTCGGCTGCGGCGGCATTTCGGTTGGAGGCGAAAATGTATGAGGCCCATGTGCTCAGATTTAATCATCATCATCATCATGACTATGCCCACTGCAGGACAAAGGCCTCTCCCGCGTTCCGCCAGTCAACTCGGTCCTGTGCTTACTGCATGCTGCCACTTTATACTCGCAAACTTCCTAATCTCACCTGCCAACCTAGCTTTCTGTCTCCCCCTAACACATTTGCCCTCTCTGGGAATCCAGTCAGTTACCCTCAATGACCAGCAGTTATCCTGCCTACGCGCTACATGCCCCGGCTCACGTCAATTTCTTCTTGATTTCAACTATAATATTTTTAACTCCTGTTTGTTCTCTGACCCACTCTGCTCTCTTCTTGTCTCTTAAGGTTACACCCTTCATTTTCATTTGCATTGCTTGCGGTGTCGTCCTCAATTTAAGCTGAACTCTCATATAAGCCAACAGGTTTCTGCTCCGTAGGTAAGTAAGTACTGGCAAGATGCAGCTGTTATATACCTTCCTCTCGAGGGTTAGTGGCAGATTACCATTCGTGATTTGAAAATGCTTGCCGAACATGATAATTTCATTAGTGAAAGCAGCTAACCAATGGCAAGGAACCCCTTAGAAAGAAAGTTTCGCGAATTCGGCCTCCGGAAAAAACGCTCTATCAGAGAACGTCCCCAGTATAGCAATAAACGCCTTTTTTAAAATTTAAACTAGAATTTCTACTGTGAAAACAGGAAGACCTTTCACAGAAAATAAGAATTATTCACTCAAAAAGATAAAAATATATTGTGCGTCACAGTGGTGATACAGCTCCTTCTCTTTACGCACCTGCACAGGTACTTGGCTCGAGGAAGACGACTGACAACGTCCAACATGGGAGTCCTAAACGCGAGTCTATGTCGCCTTCGCTGCAGTCATCTCAGGGAGTCACGGAAGTCGTGGTGCATCAGCAAGCACCACAAGGCGTGGACGACGACGAACCAGTGCAGGTTAAATACGAGGTCGTCGAAGAAGTGGTGGCCTACGAGACTTGTCCGGCAACTATTATGGCCGGGCAAATCACCGATGAGGATCAGGTGGACAATGACGCCTCGGATAACGCTGTACAGTCACCAACGCTGGTACCGGCCATAGTCTCAGTCGGCGCGGTCGAAGATGAGGACGCCGGCACGACGCCCAGCGGCTCTCCCGAGCTGGCCGAGCTGAGAGTGGAATGGCCTGTGTCTCCGTCGCAGGCGGCCGTGGTGGTCGGCGCTGCGCACCCGGACGGCCTGCAGGAAATGTACGTGCTCGACCCGTTGGCGCAGCCCACCCCCGAACAGCTGGCGGCCGTCGGTGCCGTTGGTCCCGATCACATGCCTTGCGACTACCGCATGATGACGCTCAACCAGGGCTCTCCAGGACCCCACGGCGAGTTCCAGGAACTGCCGCCGCCCCACCACCACCCTCAGGCGCAACCCTACCTACTCGCCTCTGCCGACGGCAGTTACTCGGTGCGAATCCTTTCGGACGATGGCCAGACCCTGGCTCAGACTGAGCAGCAACACTTGAAGCTCGTCAAGGGCAGTGCCGGCCGTGGAGCAGCGGTCGTGGTAGACGGCAGCGGCGGTGCCGGTGAAGTGTTGCACGGCGAGGTGTTCCTTCCGTCGACTGTAGACATTGTGCCGAGGACGACTGCGTACGGACACCACGCAGGTGTGATCGCCACCGCGGCGCCGGTCACCACGGTGCTCCCACCAACCGCCGCCACCACTGCGGGAACTACCTTTCTTTCCAGGGACGTCAGCTACGTGTTGCCCCAACAGCAGCCTCAGCAGCATCACCAGCGCCAGCAGACACCCACGACGGTGCATCAGCCGGTGCAACAACAAACGCAGCCGCCCCAGACGCAGCCGCAACAGACTCATCAGTCCAGGGGCTCCAGGAGCAGTGGCCGGACGAGGGATAGAAGTGAGTGCGGACACGCTATGCTTACCGCGCAGTCAGCTCTTCGGCACCAAGGTGCTTCAGAGTACAGTAAGATAGCTGATTAGGTCACCTTATTCGCGTCTCACTTTCACATAGAAGCATGACGTAACGCGCAGTGGATACATGAATCGTAGGCGTGGAGCGTCTGGGCTACACCAGTGGTCTCCTTCTTGTGATTAAGATAGGAAGAAGTCCCACAGCAAGAGTTTATTCAGCTCGGTGACTCTCAGAGATAGCGCGCCCACTATGATTGCAAATGGTCTGGCATACACTCAAGCCGCAATACGACCAGTCGCAAATAGTCGTAAATGGTTTATTTTGGTCCAAATACGGCTTTTTTTTGGCTCGTGGCTCACATCCGTAGAAGCCAGTGCGTAAATTTCGACGAAAGCGGTAAGCGACTTCTGGCAAATGCCGATGTGGAGCTGCGCTGTTATACTCGCCTTACGCAGTTGAAACGTCTACAGGCGGCACTAGTGTAACACCCGTTGCCTGTCCATCTACACAAGGACGAACTAAATGAAACAAGCGGAATGAAACATGAAGCAGTTTTGTCAGTTTTTTCTTCTTTTTTTCTTTTAGAGTTGATAGGAATTTACCAAACTGGGCGTATCGCAGAAAGATTTGCGGATATCGAGTTTGAGCCACGGAAGTAGGTAAAGTCGAATGACGTTTTGAACATTAACCTAAATAGCGAAAAATACAGGGCAGTGAAACGCGTAGGACATAGCGTTTTTCATGAACTGACTAGTTCCCCTAGGAACCCTTGTACGGCTTTTTGAGCTCTGATTTCCGTTTGTGAAATAGATAGTTGGATGGAAGCCCGTCTGGTCAGGTACAGACTTTTTTTTTTCACTTGTGAGCAAGGTTTCCTTACGGGGGCAGAAACGGCTTGCTTTTATTTGGTTTCACTTCACTTCACTTCACTTTATTACCTTAAAGACCTCCTAGAGGGGGTATTACATAAGGGGTGGGAAACATACAACAAATGTAATACATATTCAGGATGGGTACAAGTATGAACAGGGGTAACCTGTTAATGAGGGTCAGTGTGTTGCTTTATTCGTGTTCCTGAATTCAGTTTGCGCAAACAGCGGCTATCAGCACCAGACTCGGGGTACGCGCCTAGACGCCTGTATGTGAAATCGAAAACCGAGAAGTCGAGATAATTAAATGTGACCAAAGGTAAAGAGGCCATATAGACGAATGTGTGTTTCACCATTTTGAAGAATAGTGAGAGGGTAGGAGAGAGAACAGAATGAAAGAAACAGGGGGAGTCCGAGCTCTGCCCAAAGACAAAGTACGTCTATATATGGAGAGGTAACAGCTAAACCTTTCTGCAATCACATTGTAGCACGTATAGAAGTCTATATGAAGACCTGACATGACTTGCATCTGAAATGTTTCTTTCGTTACTTATAGATGTCAGACCGACTAAAGAATATTCCAAGCACACGTGCCGTAAGTAATACGTCTTATGATTAGGGACACCAGTACACATGGCTAGACAACTCGTCTGTACATCTAGTATTCCAACTGAGCAGTGCCTATTGAATGAAGAAACAAAGGTGCCCTGAAAGCTGCCTGCAGTACGCTTCGTTAAAGATGAACTTTGAGTGACATGCGTAAACTTTACCGGTTTTCGTAATGAAGTAGCTACAGTGCCAATTTGTCGTCATGCATTATCAGCTCGGCGCAAAGATTCACTCGTCATTGATTGTATTAAAGGTGCACTTCGCGATTCTCCTTTACAAATGTAGCAGCGAACAATTATTTACCTTGTGGGCTTCATCGTTCTACTCCAATGAGCCGGGCCACTCGTCAACTTCGGGGTAACTCAAAAAAGTTATTTATTACTGAAGCTTTAAAACGTTTAGTGGAACAAAGCAAACGCGAACTTCCGCGGACAGTTCCTCGCCGGTGCCGTCAGCCGTGGTCCTTGCGAACCACACTCCCCGCACATATGCGCACCGCACAACAGTTCACCGGCAACTCCCCTCCCCCCCTGGTCATCCGCCGTGCACGCTTATGAAGCATGTCCGTATCCGAACGCATGCGCAATGGTACTCTCTGCTGCGTCTTATCACCGCCGGTGCCGACATGGGCGAGGGTGGTGTTGTTATGCTTATCGGGAGTTCCCCTCAACCTTGGAAACGGGACTGTGTGGCATGTGTTCAGTTGGGGGAGGGGAATGTCGTGGCTTTACGTGAGATTTTATATTCCTTAATCACGTTGAAATATTGTGCAGCAAAGCAAAATGTGTCTCAGTAAACGAAGCTGTGTTAGGCAAACTTCTACAAAACGCCGCTCACTATAGTGAAATTCTTTTTTTTAAGCGCATCGAGTTATTACGTTTCATATTCGTTTACCTTCTCTGGATCCATCAGAATTAGCCCTTTGTAATATGCACGAGGGTCAACCAATACTGACTGTGGGGAAGGCTCTACCTAATGACTACCACCGTTTCACCTGTGTACAGACTATACACGTAGATTGTTTCCAGCTGAGTGCGCGAGCCGGGAGACCAAACAACAGAGCACGAACGTCCATCGAAAGCCGTGAATACATCTCGTCTTTACCTATATATAAATATTTCAGGTCTACATCTTGCCCTAGTAATCTAAGTGCTAAACACTGATCAATTAAGAAAGAAGGAGGTTGGGGATAACGCTTCTAGTCGAAGAGAAATTATATGGCATAAACAGGAGGAATCACACGTTATGTCAATAAGCTAACGGGTTATTGTCACTTGGAGCCGTATTCGCAAACAGGTGAGGTTGCCAAGGTTTGGTGGGTTCACTTCAGGTGCGCATAGCAAGAAGCGCATATAATAGCGAGCTATGAATAACGCTTAGCTTGTCGTGTATAGTTTCACTGTGTTGCCTGAAAAAAAAACTGTGACAGACAGACAGACAGACAGACAGACAGACAGACAGACAGACAGACAGACAGACAGACAGACAGACGGACGGACGGACGGACGGACGGACGGGCGGACGGACGGACGGACGGACAGACGGACAGACAGCAGGAAAGAAAGGACAGAAAGAGAAAGAATGAAAAAAGAAAGAAATAAAGGAAGGAAAGAAAGAAAGAAAACTTAAAATCCAGCGTGGGCTCTAAACACTCCGACGAGAAATTAATTTATGAATTTTGATAACATTTGAGAATAATAATTCCAATGGTAAGAGCGAAGATCATAACTGATATCTCGCATAAAGTGATGCATGCGTCAATAACAGTTAGCTTGTCATCCTTATTTATTTATTTATTTATTTACACCAAATTTTTCTGTACGATTAAATCAAGCAAGTCCCGAAAATATGCCAAGGCTTCCCGACCAAAACGTCTACAAAAAAAAAAAAAAAAACGCAACCAAATTCTTGCGCTGTTAAGGGCTCAGTAACTCTCAATTGAAGTCTCGAAGCATTTGAGTAAACTGCGTTAACTGTCAATCATTTCACGAGAGCACCTTCTCAACAGCATACCTTGAATTTATTGACATATATCAAGATTGAAAGTGCGAGTGAATATAAAAAAAA